CTCCCTCAGCCCTTCTCTTCTTCTCCACCAACATTGAAGCATGTGATCACCTTTTTCTGTTCAGGGCTCAAGCCATGTGGCCCCGTCCATCATTAAAACCATCTTTCCAAGCAGCCTCCATGTCTCCAGTGTCTTTTCCCCCTACTTGGAACTGAACCCAGAAGTTCATTTCTTTCAATCACTAAGTTGTGTGGATTTCAACTGGCCCATACTATGAATTTGTAAGCAAGATAAAGTAGTTACCATAAAATTCATTTTCTATTTTTTCCCCAAAATATCCCCAAGAGTGTAGATTGTTTTTTAAAAAAATCCTTTGCTAGTCATCATAATCTGGCAATTGTAAAACCAGTCCACATCGAACAAGGTAGTTATTTAAAGCTCAACTGACATGTCACACACACAAACACAGAGACAGACAAACAGGCAAACCACAAAGAAGGTTTCATTTCCTTTTTATTATTAACATGATTCAGTTTGGAAAGCATTATGACAAGTGCACACTTTACAAAGGGTATAGGGAGAGAGAGAGAGAGAGAAAATGCAATCGATTGTTTGAATGGCATTCTTATTTTCCCAATTTGGATTATTTTCCCCCTTCTGGATAGGGAAAAATCTGGTCGTTTTAGAAAAAGGAAGCTTCAACTTTAAAGATGCTCACTAGATGTGTCCCAATGTTGGAAACCCCTGAATGACTTCTAAAAAAATCCTGAAGTGGTGCCTAATGTCACAAAATGGTCAGAATCCAAGGAATTCTTAACAGAAATTAACAGAATGAGGAATGTTATAATCTATAGAATGAAATCTGTAATGATTGTTTTCCATTGTGTGTGTGTGTGTCTAATTTTATTGTATGGATTCCACCTCTAGGGGGCAGCATCACTTGTGGAAATTATTAACCAATATTGCTAAGCCAAAATAGCACTAGCAATCACACAGTATATACCGCTTTACGGCGCTTTACCTGTATAAAACATGGCTTTTGTCAAATGATTTATTTGTGGTCAACTGATTCGGGGGGAAACTTGGTGCTAGCCACATCCCATTCATGTATGTATGTATGTATGTATGTATGTATGTATGTAGGTAGGTAGGTAGGTAGGTANTAGGGCGGCCTATAAATAATAAAACCATAAAACCATAATGCTGGTCTGTGACCATAATGAAAATTGATGGATTGATTGATTCACATCACAGCAAAGCTCTTTCCTCAGGAAGGCACGTTGAAGGATAGGTTAAAGGGTGTCTGCTTTTGTTTTCTTCCCAGCACCCATTTTTGAATTCCTTATTACATTCATGTTGATTAAGGACGACCTGTAACTGATGACCTTTGTTCTGTTAGGGACCAGGTTCAACTGGTTAATGCCCAACTGAAACAGAAACTCCTTTTTAGCTTCAGATATTTGAAAAATCAGATTTTCTGGAGTGCAATGCATGCTGAAGAAAGGTTTGTCCTTCCTTTTTCCAGGAGGTCTGGCAGATCATCTGAGCCTGTACAACCCCTTGCAGCTTCTCTCATGCAGAGATCTTTGTTAAGTCTTGTTCCTTTTGAGCCCAGTTGAGGTGGATGAGTACCTGGGGCATAGCAGTCCATGAGTGTAGCCGTCTGAATGGGGCTTATATGAGAGCTAAAGAGCATGACTACTTCTTCATAGAAGGAGTGGAGGTTTATGATCTGTCTTCCAAGGGTGTACCAATAATTGCTCAGAGGAGATCTGCAATGTTCACTAATGTGAATGTGCATTTTCCTCAAATCCTCTTGTGAAGCTATCTCTTTTGAGTAATTTGATAATCATTTGTCAACCTTTGGTTAAAGTTTACTAGTAACTATTGTTAAGAAGACACTTAATGCTGTTGTTGGCCTTCTCTCCCAGAATTTGATCCAAATAATGAGTTTCTGCAACATTAAGCAGGTTCTTACAAACATCATTGTAAAATTTTTCACTCATGGAATCCGTTGAGGCCAATGGAATCATTGGTCGTTTCCCCCAATTTCCAGGGTGAGGCAGAGGCAAGAACTGGTCGTAGGAGGGAATTCTCAAAAATGGCTTTGCTGAGATGCCTTTGGGCCCCTGTGTTCTGCACCATGGAGGTGTTTATTACCCACAATTAATTGGAAGGAACTGGGGGGAAAAAAGAGCCAGGCTGGCTCAGGAATTCTTGGAATTCCCCAGTTCATAAAACTGACTGGGCTGGATGGTCACTGAGGGGATTCCACCTGAATTTTTGGCCCAACCCTCTGTTGGGGAGGGAATAGAAAGGAGCCCAGTGTGTACTGAATAGAATAGAATGGAATTCTTTATTTACCAAGTGTGATTGGACACACAAGGAATTTCTCTTTGGTGCAGATGCTCTCAGTGTACATAAAAAGACAAGATACATTTGTCAAGAATTATAAGGTACAATACTTAATGATAATCAAAGGGTGCAAATAAGCAATCAGGAAATAATATCAATATAAATCGTAAGGATATAAGCAACAAGTTAAGAGTCCCGCAGTCATAAATGGGAGATGGGTGATAGGAATGATGAGAAGACTGATACTAATACTAACGCAGCGTAAATGAATAGTTTGACAATAGTGAGGGAATTATTTGTTTAGCAGAGTGATGGCATTCGGGAAAAACTGCTCTTGTGTCTAGTTGTCTTGGTGTGCAGTGCTCTATAGCGTCGTTTTGAGGGTAGGAGTTTGAAACAATTTATGTTGAGGATGCGAGGGGTCTGTGGATATTTTCACAACCCTCTTTTTGACTTGTGCAGTGTACACATCCTCAGTGGAAGGAGGTTGGTAGTAATTGTTTTTTTCTGCAGTTCTAATTATCCCCTGAAGTTTGTATCTGTCTTGTTGGGTTGCAGAACCAAACCAGACAGTTATAGAGGTGCAGATGACAGATGCAACAATTCCTCAAATACAGCTCACTACAGAAGAAACTCAATACCATCACCCCCACTACAAGATGTGTACACTGC